CTTTAGGTGAAATTAAATTCTTTTCAGGCCGAAGGCTGAGATGTCGAAGCACAAGCGAAAGATTCAAGAGAAACAGCTAGTTGTCTCGGTTTAATAGTTTATCGAATGAGGGTAGTGTCCACGTCTTCACCAGTAGTAATACCGACAGTCAGACGAGAGTGATCAAAAAATATTTTGTTCAACCCCAGTTGAACGGAGGTGTTTATGTGCTTATGTGTGACAGTGAGTTTGATCCTTACCGATGTTTACAGCCAGCACTCGATACTTTTAACTCCATAATAATTGTTTATCTCTCATGCACACAAATAGACCCCAATATGTGTAGGTCGGAATTTCAGTTCGGATGTTCATTCCAATCAACATATGCTCGATTTTTTTCACAAACCACGAGCTAACCTGGAGCTATCCGGGATCTGTACTTGTTTATGCGTTTCTAGCTGAAGTTCGTGGTGAGACGACAGTTGCTGTAGACCCCGTGTATTTTGGCTCACTTCGCCTGGGAACCACGCAATCAACTTTTGTGAAATCCTTATCAGCGGTGGCACATATGCGCAATCCATAATGGGATTCAATCGTGTGGCCGATGTTATGCGAATCATTCCCATGATTCACTGCGACGGGTGCTTAAGTGTGTTTTAAATCACAGGGGAATTAGTGCCATCGAAGAAACCCTATCTCACAGGCAGATAATTGAATTTTCAACACCCGTGGCCTTCCGTTTGATACCCGAATTTCCGTCTGGTTAAATAAATGTTTTAGGAATCACTGTGAATGGCCATCTTGTTTCACAGTATTCGTAAATTCAATTCCCTTCATTCTTAGGATGAGACTGATGTTCGTTCACTTCATTTCTTAAACGGATCAGTGGGTCCGTATCCTACATATGATTTAAACTTCACTACAATTTGTTGCTGGGATGTGGCGTAGAATAAATGACTGCAAAACGACGAGGAATCATACATAGATGTCTCTAATTGCTTGTATTTATATTGAGTGCATTTGAAATTGAGTAACAGTATTCAAACTTGCTTGCGTTCTTTACTCGTCCTTAGAAATCCGTTTCTATCCAATCATTCAAAGCCGCGGTGCTTAATACATACCAGGACAGGTTCGAGGTATGCTTCAGTCGGTCGTTCAACCCAGCATAATATGCTATTGCACCCCTTGCCTCCCAACCACACTCTCGAGTTGTGGTAATGTCACGTCAAAGAACCAAACTAGTGTGGCACATTTAAGAATAGATGGACCATTCTTGTCTTTCGAAATATCGTATTCTTTGATATTGTTTTCTGTGACATGCATCTGACCCTGGGATAGAAAGCCTGGCTGGAGCCGCTAATGCGTTGTGCAAACTAACCTGGATTTGCCTACCTGAATATACTGTAGCGTCAAATGCATTAAAGAGCTGTAGAAATATTTGTTTATTTTGTGGCACTGCCCAGCGCAACGAGGGCGACAAGTAGGCGAATGTATGCGTAATTTCCGCATGCTTCAGTGTTAGGATGGGTGGCGGAAGTACGTTCATCAGGTTACAATAATTGAGGATGGTAAGAGGAGCGGAAACCTGTAGGTGACAGATTTACGGTCGGAGAACTCAGCGTGGTGAGAGGCGATGTTCCTATACCTCCAAGGTCGGTTCCTACAACTGCCCGTAGGACGAGTGCTGTCAAGCTCGGTAGCCCCAGTAGATAATGCTTGGCTTGACTATTTCTTACGACATGCGAAATTTCACCAAGGAAGCGCAGCAATAAACGGATCGACAAGGCACTCAATGTCCTCTAAAGTGGTCAGACCACACTTTCAGGCAGAGCTACATTCAGTGCGGTAGATTTCAGCCTGGCGCTACGTCAAAGCTATGGCAGTAAACGTCCAGTAGCTGGTGACAAACACTAGCCAGATTGGGCTTAACGTTTATTTCAAAGAAGCTATTGCGAGCGTGTGAGGATTGCACAAACGGTTACATGGATGTGACCGGGCCTCCTTAGCTGCACAATCTATCAGCTGCAAAGCCTTTGCGAGTTGAATAAAACTTTTTACGTCAAAATGTTGTATTCTGTTGCGTATGTGCTCAAATCAAACCCACCCAAATCTACGTTCATATTTTTGGAGCTCACCAAATTTCATTGTCCACTGAAGCAATCGTATTATTAGTGTTCTCTCTTGTTAACAACAAAAGCTACTAGATAAATCAGAAGGCTAGAATGCACTAGGATGCACTAACCAGATGGGCAACCGCTACAGTATCTCTGTCCGTTTAGTCCATCAGGGACACGCCATAGCTTTTGAAAATTCAATTCCACTGTGCCAATCTTGAGTACCACTGTGACTCATTGCACTGAATGCACAAAATAATGGACTCGTTCAACAACGCCGCAAATCCTGTTATTTTACTGGCCTTGTTTTACTCTGCAAAGGATGGGGGTATTTCCTAAAGTAAGGTCCGGGTGGGAAGTTGGAAGCATTTTGTGACACACCCGTCAGAAAACTCAGGACATCTCTAATCACACTTGGTGATTGGTGTTTCGTCCCCGGTGTGCGCGCATCTTTGATAACCTAGTGACCGTTTTTACCAGTAAGCTCAATAACTCACTGTTAGTAAACATGGCTTTGCCCGATACTGAAAGATGTCAGAAGTCACATTATGTCACTGAGCGCTCTATACAAATATAACTTGGGCAGATCCAGCTCATCAGAAGCCTGAATAGCCGAACAGGGTCTCCACCAAATGCAAGTGTTTGTCACAGACAGCTCCCTCTGACTTCTCAATATTTGTCCAGATGATGATTTGCATCAACACGGCATACCCAGTAAACTGAGTCTTCACGCTCTGGATGGTTTAGCCTCATTTCCATCAATAAGTTTTAGAGCCGCAGCTTCACGAACAAACATTTTTGCCTTCAAGATCGACAACCTATACACCTACACTGGATTACAAACAGCGTCACCAGGAACGATTCTACAACACGATGCGAGCAACTTTTGATGAAACATAAAATCACTACTTGGTAACTGGCGATGGTAACTTGGAGATCCTGAGTGACTTCATAATCCACGCAGAAATCCACAGGATATGTACTGCTGTTATCCCTGTGGTCCTTCACTGTTTGTGATTCCATTTGATTGGGGCAGCTAAAATCATTACCAATCTTCTTATAGAATACTTCGCCAACGAGTCATTTGCATGTTAGACCAAACAGTACTGGCTTTCGCCCACTCGGAAAATCTCTATGCAGCAAAAAAACAGCCAAACCAGACATCGAAGCTATTTGGAATCGGATGACTGCTGTTACTCAGCTAAGCAGCATCCTTATTAATGAAAGAGAGCAGTCAACATATGAACTGGCATTGAAAGTTTGAAGGTACTGGTTGCTGTTGTTCAAACTGTTTAACCTCTTGGTCGATCGGATTGTGCGCCGAGCTATCAACGGTCACCACAAAGTATTTATTGGAGATAGTTTGTCTACCGTAGACATAGAGATTGTGGATACCATCGTTTTCCTCTCTGTAGATCGGTCGGGCCAGCAGCCATGGTTCAACCTATTCTGACAATTAGGTGTGATCATCTGAGAGAATAATGACTCCTCCAAATCTCTTGCTCCTCCGTACGCACTCCAGGAAGGCTCGTTAGACCGGAACAGTGTGGCGTTGCAGTGTGTGTGGAAGTTTATATCTTTTTTAAACCATTCTGAATATACAAATTGGGAAGAGGGTTATGGTCCACTCGGATAAATCTTGTGGAGCATTCAGACAAACGGAGTGCGTACTGCTGCGTACTAAGGAACTTACTCTAGAGCTGAATTATCGAATTGGCCAATCAGACCCATCTCACGTTGTCTTCAAACCAGGCGTACGCACCATTAAGACAATCTTAGTTTGGAGATTTTGGTGAATGTTTATTGCGAACGGAGAGATCCACTAGTCCCGGACGGTTGTTCAAGTTTAAACTCAGGTGGTTGAGACGTACATTCTTTTTTCTGTCCATATACCAACATGGTAGGTACGGTTTCGAGACTAACGTTGTTGTTTGGGTCCTACAATGACGTTGTTTAGTCCTCTGCGAAGTGCTGGATTCTATAGACCGTCTGTGGCTCACATTGTTACAACTGGATTGACTTCTGCTAAAGTCATGTAAGTAGCGGCCGTTGAGATTTGAGATACTCAGTTCAGTTCAATTATTCCCACGCAGAAGATGACGAAAGCAAAGTTGAGCAACTAAACATACACATCTCGATGGTTGGTATTATGTATAACTGTTCTTAAAAATATTGCACTCCTTGAATTGGTGCGGTAACAGATAGCGGTTGAATGTGGCAAAATTCGAGTTACTGATTGTTTCCAGCAATCAGTTGGACCACTTCGAGTTACGCGCAAAACCCAAAAGGTCAAATCGTTCAAATGGAGATTATCAACAAATGCAGTACCATGAATACAACAATAAAATAATAGAATTTTATGAACCTAAAGTCTATATACCGTTTTAGGAATTTGAAACGGGATCCCAGAATTCACACCGACCTGAGGCAAGGTGGCTACGGGATAGTGAAACTCACGTGTTGGTTTAAGCAGGACGTGCGATGACAAGATCAAAGAGCGGTTTACGTTCATATCAAAAACAAGAAAGTCGGTATAGGTTCAAAGAGAAGACAACAAGACGGGACCATGTTGTATATAATGAGAATAGTAGGAAAACTCCAACCCCCCAAAGTCAGCATGGCTTTCCATGATCTACGAGCTCAATCCATTGCATGCATGAATGAGATCAACAACAATGGTGCAGTAACTCTAGTCAGACACCTCCCTCAATCCGCAGTTTTACCGAGAGCACCTAGTTATCTTCTACCCTTGGCTCATGCTCCGGATTGGTGGTTGTTTCAACTTTGAAGAATTTAAATGGCACGATTTATCCGCACCGTTCCTATTCCAATGTAACGGCGCTATTTTATCATGACTCCGTATTGTGCACCCGGAATAAATCATTGTTTACATTCCCCCCAATATAGGTGAAAGTTACGTGTACCTTCCTAGCATGGCAGAGACTATGGGGCAACCACAGTCTGGTGATTGACATATTAGAATGTCTACGAGCCGATGAGTTGAAAACTAGTTCCCGTATGCAGGAATTTCACAAACATCCCGGAAAATCAATCAGATTCACAAAGATCTATCAAGAAATTATCAACGACATTGGTGAACAATTGAAACGGAAAAGCCAATTGCCTTCTGATGCACTGTACGTTGAGGATTTCCGTTTTGTGGAAAATGTAGGAGCTTGTTCGCAGTTGATGAGGATTGACTTGTAGGAATCCAAAGAGAAAATGGCAGTCTTGGAATATAGATGGAACCGTACTGGATGTCCACAGGAAGAAACCCCTAACTTCAAAGAATGCTTCGGAAAACTACCCAAAGTAAGCGACACTTAAAGATAGTTAGGAGTATACTTGTTGAATGTGTACTCACGGGGCGAAATTTCTTCAGCTGTTGTCCTTATTGGTTAGATGTCCCAATTTGACGCAAATGCAATTCCTTTTTGGGATTACAGTATGATTCGTTTAGAACCAAGCTAAACTTCATTGTACCAGGAACTGTCAGGTTTATTCTACTGGCCCAAATATCTTTCTCATGACTGGTGTGATCTTTCGTTCTTTGAGCGCTTACCTGCTCTTAACTGTTTTGAAAGGAATCTCTTGCGATTTTACAAACAACTACAATTAATTGTAATTGGAGATTACAAAACCGACATGACGGGATGAGTTCTACAAAAGGTTTGGGAAGTTACATAAACGTTTTCAGGGAAGAAGCGGGACTAGGAAACAAAGGTTGTTCAAATTTTCGAAGAATTGTCCAAATTGAAGCAAACCAAAACATTACAAGTATAGTTGAAGTAAACACAATACACTACTTATAAAGAGACTCCGTGCTGCTATTTCCCACTGCTACTCAGTCAAACTGAGGTTAGGACCACAAGTTGAGCAGAAAGTAGGTTCATGTGGGAGAACAGGTGTGAGGTTCTGATGAAACAAGTAGTGTGAACCGCTGCTGTTTTGCTGAAATTATTCATTCTTTCGCTTAGTCGTGACTACTTTGTTAACGGAATCTGATCATCACCGTCATCAGTACCGTGATTCAGTGCTCGGTTTTTCACTTTACAAGCTTACTTTTAAACTAACGGTTCGAATTCTTCTGTATTAAGGCAAAACCCATCATGTTTCTGTACATCTGATCCTACTATACAGATCGCCTTTCATCGTTAATGTGTTAGGTATATTTGTTGCTGACCCACCGTGACGGGGTATTCGGTCGAACAATTTTACGGTAGGGTGCATAGCTTTCAAGTGGGGGCCCGTTATTTCCAAAGACTGTGTTTGTCCTTTTCTACCTAAAACAGTTTCAGCTCCATCACTCAGGAGAAAAGTTCCAATTCATGTCCGCTCGCTACGCCATAGCTAAGAGGCTTCTTAAATGATTGGAACTGTTACTTATTGTACGGTTATTTTTGTTAATGCGTCGAAGTGATCATAGAAATACAAACCACAATGTTCTACAAATATCGCCGATGTGCACCTGACGGTTTGACACAAAATCAGACTGCATTTTAGTCTTCCGATGGATCGCAGTTCATATTGGAATGGAGAAAGCTGCTGTCCTATTTACTGAATTTACCAGTTGTCAAAATATTTCCAAAAATATGCTTAAAGAGTGTTTCAAATGATTTATCCAACTGCTCTTCATCTGGTTCTCTGATGTTTCAATCTTTTTACTTTAACTGTTCTTCACTAGGATACTTTACTCACTTGCGCGGCTGAGTTCGAATGGCCATATCGAGTGAATGAAAGCTGGTTGAAATTCCCGAACTGCTCTTGGACACCACTTGTGTCACTGGAACATGAACTCTATTCATTTAGGCGGCTATCTAGTGCATGTAACAGTGTGAGTTGAATTTGTCTCATTTCAATAAATATTGATCACTCTGAACCACGCAGAACTGTTTGTGCTTTTGTGACCTTATTGATAAGGCAGTGAATGCAATGAACCGGCTGATTCTGGCCGTCCTCCTGTCTGGTAGTTTCTGGGTTGAATAACCTTGAGGAGTGATGTTGCGGCCTCAATAATGGGAATACTCCGGACAGATGATTGCATTTGAAAGACAGTTCTTGGCATGGCTGACCAAACTAACGTTGGAAATAGTCTAACATAACACATCTTTTGATGCCGCAATTATGTACTTTACAGAGATGCACATTAAGATTGGAATTAGGTTATATGGTGAAAAAAATTACTGAAACAAAAATAACTAAAACCGAGATTATAATCAGTAATCCCTTTGAGGAGCTAACATGTTTGAAAAATGAAAGTCATCCGTTTTTTGGGAGGAACCCCTTCTGTTGAGAACAAACAATCCAAAAATTTAAGGAATATCTGATTTATAGGACAAAAAACCTGTCCGAAGAAATCAATTCCCGTGTAAATTTTCGCAGCCTTGTTTCTTATAGCATGCGATTTGTTTTTAGCGTTTCATGTATCTAGAATTATATTTGCCGGAAACCACACTTTAGATCTTTGAATCACGGAACTGTGACACACTACAACATTCCATTTTGTATTCGGTTTCGTCCTGTCACATTTTCATCCTTTTCGTCCCTTGGTTCCTTCCAAGATGCCACAGAAATCAAAACATCATGTAGCAAACCAATTATTAGGATCGATCAATGACTTCGCGTTCTCCGAGTGTTAGCGGATTAAAAGGGTTTCTAGACGGGTGAATAACGTTTCACTCAGTAGTGCTAGAACTGACGAACTCAGCCAACGTAGAGATACAACGCTTAAACAATATCCGATGATTTCCTTAGGTATTCTATGAGTATATACAGTGTCTGTTAAGAAATATGTGCTCTTGGAGGCGTTTGAGCTGAATTTGCGTTCTCTCAGACAGTGTGGAAACTGAAGGTTTCATTCTATCCTTCGGGTTCTTCATGCATGTCGAAGACTAATGCATACTTCAACCGTGTCAGCCACATTGTTGAATTTCGTATGCAAACTACTATGATAATCACGATTCCAATATGGCATTACACAATAATCATAATTCTTTCAGAAGGGTTTGGTAAACAATCGATGGGCTTATAGCTTGGCAAAGTTTCGCTTTTGACCAAGCTCTTCTGAAACAATGATCTTTCAGTCGGTTTTAAATTTTCTCCCATAATGTTCTTGCTTATTTCTCAAAGCAAAGAAAAGGCGAGGCATTTATTCGAGCTAGAAATAAAATTTGTCAGAAATCACAGTAGATTCGTTCTTCCCTGGAGAAACTAACCAACCAGTGCAACAAAAAAGATCATCCCAGTAGAAGGTTTTACTAGTCAGTAGAGTTGTCTTCCTCTAAACGTATTACTTTTTAGAAGAGGCCAAATGCGGTTCTGCACTGGATGCATCTGACGGTGGTAAAGATCTTTGCAGAATAGCCCACTTTGCGAAGAGATCGTCTCAGGTTGTACCCTTGTTATGACCGCTCCGGAGGAGTTTTTCTAATGGCTAGTTTACCGCCTGTGACGGAGCTATTAATTTTGACACCTACAAATAAGTAGTAGTAGAGTGGTTAAGGGAGCCATCTCGCCGAAGCTAATGGACAAATTTGGTCCCCTATTCTCTTTCGTAAAAGGCTTATCAATCACTGGTTAACTCCAAGAGTTTCTTTTCGTTAACAAAGCCACAAGTCCGAATGATACAAGTGATTGTATAAACAAAATATAATCACCCACTTAAATGCTTTCATGAGATGATACCACTGCTGCACTGCCACTGAGTTTCAGTAAATTTTCCTATATACATGTATACATTACTTTTCTATACAGCGACTTCCAATCGTGCAACCAAGATTTACAGAAAGAAAGTTGTCGTGGCACATCAGACAGACTGAGGAGGTAATGTCACTTCAACCACAGGACCAGGAGTGGATGTTCCCATTGATCAATCAAGCCTATCAGGAAAAAGGAAGAAACCGTTGGTACTATGCCCGGGTTGAAGAAGTCATCGATCTTCGAAGACTGGTACTGTTTGTTTTGGTTTAAGACTTACTCCCGCAGGTTGAACCCACCGAAGTACTTCAGTTCACAGCCAGGCTCAAAGGTGACTACGGAGAACATGTAAGTATTTTCTCCACTTTGTTTGACTGAACCTATGAAAACGACCGTCGAATGGGCTGAGCATAGGTAACATATTTTATGATGCCAATAGATGATCTGTGGACGGTGTCTGTGGAAACAAACCAAAATAAAATTTCCTTTTAACCACTACTACCAGTATATGAAAAAGTCAGATGTTTATACGAATGGCTGGCATCCAAAACGAATTTATCGATTAGCTTTGGTCAGGCCATTGGTATTCTGCACGTAGTTCAATTTCAGAGAACGTTTGCAGGCCATATGGACTAAGTTGTGCATATGTAATGCAAAAAAGGATACTTATTCCAGAGTCATCATAAAAGAAAGGGGTAAATATTTCCTAGCGAATCATCTTGCTCAAACACTTTGACAAAGAGTAAAGTACTTCTAAAAAGCAGAACGATATGTTTGAATAATAGAGGGCGTCAGAATCTTTTCGAGGTAAACGGATTAAACGGGGTGTGCGAAGGTGAAATGCCAGTCGGGCACCCGTGGGACAAGGTGTGAGCGAGGTGCAGACGCCCTAAGAAATAAACGCTTACCCGAACACAGGTGAACAATAAGGGATAAGGGATTGCAGGAGAGCACCTGATAGATAACGAACAGGAAACCGGTAATAAGTAGAACGAATGTATCAGCTGCCACGAAACGGAATCACGGCAGTGCTTATCCGTGAGATCTTGGATAACATGAACCTGCTTCCTCAACCAGCATTCTTCAAAGAAAATTTCGCTTTGCCCTAATGGCTACAGCTTGCTTTCCATAACCAGGCAGTATTTATTGTAAAACCTAGAACGAAAGTATGTGGCAACTCGTGTAGTCGTAAACGTAGCAGAAAAACAGGCACTTAAATCCTCCCGGAAGACTTTTGGACCAAAAGCTGACTAGAGTCATACCTCCCCCAAAAACGTGCTGTCTCTCTCAAAAGACCCCAGATTCAAGCCGAACAGTTGGGTAGGTTAAGGTGAGCGAGAATCGGAGTGACAATCAAAGCCACTGGGAATCATTCTCTTACTTTAGGGTACTAGATTTCAGCATGGAATTCAGGTGAAAGAACAAACATTAAGCGTCAATGGTATGACATTTGGTGCACCCTTTTGACACCTGTTAGGAAAGAGGGCAGTTCACAGATACTGAAACGAAAAATACACAGTGTTTTCAGAATATGCCATCGTTTGATTCTTTGTGAGGATTAATTAGTAGTCTATGTTTCTCAACTTAAGGTACCTTTCTTCAAGGGCTTGTTCTTTACCTTACGATTTATTGCAACCGACTGGTCTCTGTGGGCCTAATGCGCATTCCGTCCTGTCGCCTGGTTCCCATGATGGCTTTAGAATATTAAGTAAACTACTCGTTAATACTGTGAGGCCTATATTACCTGAAAACGGGAAGGCTTGTGATGGTGACAATAAGAAAGCCTTAACTTTCGGAGTAATCTATTCTAGTACGAATCGGTTTGGCACCCTAATAATACTTGAGTCAATACTTGTTGAACGATAAGCAACGCACAGATTACCGCAGTTCATCAAGCTGCATCATTTAAATACGCATACTACAGTTTCTACTAATACACTAATCTGCATACTATTTTGGTTGTGACGTGAGACTTAACTGGAACCCAACTGAATCTCTTATTTTTGGTGCTCATCCTCAAATAAATGTGCTGCATCAGGCCACCGATAGCTTCATTGAGGCGATATTCGAGGTATCGCAGTACATGGTACGTAGACAGTATACTACTCACAAGGTTGCTGATAAAAACCACATCGGTGAACACTTCACCGAATTTGCTGACTAGTGGTAGTGGGAAGTATGCTATCAGACGTCAGAGATTCTTGGGGATTTTGTACAGTACAAGTGGATGAAAGTTTTCAGGCAGCGTTCTACGTGAAAATGTTTATGTTAATTAATTTTGCTAGAACTTTAGGTTGCTTGATAATCCCGACAACTTTAGGAGTAAAATGCTGTTAAAACCTATGCTGTTACCAGTAATTAATCTGAACTTGCATTCTTTATTGTCCGGAGTGAGTACTTCATCATTAACCAAATCTTAATAATGGCTTGATGAAGACAGCCGATGTTACTTGCCCCTTTTTAAGTGATATAGGCAGTTTAGCAGTGCTTGATCTGTGAGATTTTTTGTGGGGCATGGAAAACACATAAGACGCAGATCCCTTCGAACTTTCTTTGTATTCCGGAAGTTTTCTTTCTGGATCGAAACTTCCATGCGGCTAAACAGACTCAGATACAATCCATTTGCCATACAAGATCAATGTGCAATACTTTTCGTAGGAGAATCAGAACACCTATTTTACTGGTTCTAAGGATGCGGGGGTTCAGTAGCATCGTTTGAATTAAAATTCTAAACGTGCAAAACTGTCGACACAATGATAGAACGATGGGTGGAACATAAATATCCTCCAAAAGAGAGGAGCGGCCGATCAGTATGAACTGTCTACTGCTGAACTCACAAAAGAACAATCAAAAAAGACCATTCCATTCAAAGACTGGTTTATTTTTGCTGCATTTGCAGCATTCATTCCGATGGAAAATGTCAAGGAAGATTGAATGCATTATAATCAAATACCATAATGAGCACCGTAGTATTCAACCACTGAGTTGAATCCCCTATTTGAATTGACCTGTTGGAAAGAATGGACCCTAGTTTTCACCCAAAATGTTAAGTGTTTGAAATCGTGCTTTGTTGGACTGAATCATCATTGCGCTCGAATTCCAACAGTAAAATTCAAGTTGTACCTGATTTGTGAAACAACCAATCAAATGGCCAAAAAATGCAGTAGCGTGAGCCGAAATGAACCACTCTACAGTACGGGCTAACAGCTTTCTTCAGTCTTAAGACAATGACCAGCTAATGCGTTACCAAAGGGATACAGGCTGGCTATTTTGCAACATTCCATCCGCATACGCCAATCCGATCCACTTTACGACATAAAATTACGTCGTTTTGCTTGACCTAACAAAAACCACGAATTCCACACCACATTGTTTTCTGACTTGCCATTAACTGCAATACCGGTGGAAGCATGACTGATGGATGTCCGTTAATTTTGAGACTCGACCTCTCCTGTCCTCCACCGTGACCTTTCACCGTTTGTCCGTTTTCCCGATCCTTTTACCATTCTGCAACTAGGCTGACGATCAGGCGACGTCAGTGTGCTAGAAATAACAATTAAGGTTGAAAACTCATTTGTCTAATCCCAGATAAAGTAAACGAATACAACTGCAACTGAATTATCAAAGACATTCCAAGCGTATTTTGTAAGGGTACCGTGAAATTTTCCTCTCCGTCCTGTTTTGTAAGTATTTTTTCAGCCCGGATGAAATTCCTTCATTTTTGGAGTCAGCAAATGTCCTTTTTGCAGTACTGGCCAGCAGATTTCCTTGAAACAAGCGAGCCATGGAAATTTCCATGTCCCAAAAGCCTCCATGCAGAAGGGGAGTTTTCTCTACAGGGGCCAACTTTCGGTGGACCACCATATGTAGATTCTTCCGAGCAGACCACACCAACATTGAGGGATGCAACGTATTGCATATGTCCTTAAACGTTTATAATGCCCTGGTCTTTTCATGAAATTCATTACCTAAGGTAGCCCATACCAGCGACTTGCTTATAGGTTTTAAGGGAAAGGTCAGGGGCACTAAGGGGCTTTCATGTTGTCCGGGTTACCCAACTGCAGCTTTTTCATCGTTAGAGTAGTGCCACTCGGGTCTTTTAGAAGCGCAGGGCAGGGTGTGCGAAAACACTTGTGATATAAAATTAGAAAGTTGTGAGTGAGTGAGGTGATCATAATTTAGATACTTTGCTTCCATGGAGGTGGAGAACAAGGATTGGTCAATCGAGTGATTTCCCAGTTCGACCTGGGGGTGTTTCTACTTTAGCCTTTGAAATCGCATCAGAGTGCGGAACGAGATATCCTTCTGCTTAGCACTTTTTGTTTGTTGGTTTATCGAACTATCGACACCCCAAATCAGAGGCTCTGAGTGAAGAACTTCATAGGTTTCTTATAATCTAGGCAGTGGTACCTCTGCGGATGATGCTGTGAGAAGCCTGCCACCTTGGCTATTTTACCAACATACCAGCTACAACGGTCTGCTTTCAAAATGTGTCATGTGAAAGCTAAGCATTTCATACCTCTTATGGCAACTACACACGTAAATACCTACCTATATGTTCGCTTTGAAAGCCATGGTACCGAAAGATCAGCACCTAGAATTGCATCTGTACCGAATTCCGTCGAACAAGCCTATAGGGGCATGGCTTCGGGTTGAGATTGTGATAAGGAGTAACGGGCTGGAGTCAAAAAAGAGGCACAGAACAAGGGGTGCCGAATAGCTTAAACTGTCGGACAGAATTGCATATTAGAGAACGAAGACGCATCAAGGGAAATCGGAATTGCTGCAGTATAATCATGAACGGCTAAAGAGTTTGCAATTCAAATACAGATTTCTGTATGAGGAAGTATAAAAGAGATTGGGTGTTCCGCTAGACTGTTGACGATGTGCACCCAGCGAGACAAATGGTCACTCCATCGTAGGCAAAAATTGGATTCGTTCATCAGTCTGCAATGAAAATCAGGCTTCGTTTGAAATACACACCAAAGTGACAAGTACCGAGACGGACGAGAAAATGAAATAGCCTTGGCCATTGCAGCCCACATTTTGTAGATATTGAGGTTAAAATCCAGGAAATCTGTCCGGGCAATTTTAAGATTGCAGACTTCGCCAACATCTAACTGAACGTTGTTTCAAACAGAATACCTCTATGTTGTTAAGATACTGGCCGATTTTTTCAATTTATCGTCAGATATTCAACAAGTATTGTTGAATAGGCCAAGATCTTGGTTATCGATGTGTTGCATACGAAAGTGCGATATCCCTAACTGACCATTTTTGACACAGTATCTTCATTTAATTGACGAGGAACAATCAATATGGCCCGCGATAATCTCTTCTGGTTGGCACCACATAAATAGTTGAATCACAACAGCACACATCAAAGCAATCTAGGATTTTGGTTCGTAGTAGTCTTCCCCAAAAAATAAGGATCAGTCGCAGGAAAAGACCAAATTTGTTGTTCCCGAAGGTATTTCTTCGCACAAGAAGTGCGTTGTAGCGAGAAATACTTTAATATCGGTTTAAGGTAGGACCATCGGAGGTTTTTCCTGAAGATAGTTTTAACACCATGCTACGCGACAACACTGGTTTAGCCTTGAGCACGAAACACAGAAGGGTAAGAAAGACTGACCCACAATACCGGTGGAGTAACTGCACTGTATGCCAGTTAACGGCAAGTAGAAGAAACCTGCACAAAGTGTGCACCTTCTGAACTTTAGAACCATTAGCTGTTCTTCCAAGGTTACCTCACACATTTTCACTACAAGATCTCGTAGTTCAGCAAGAACCATCGAATTATTTTCCCCCTTTTTAGCTGTTTCCAGACGTTTTATCGGTAGTTGCTGGCGAATACTGCTTATGTGGTACTTATAATACTACAGTACCACAATAAGTAGCTGCGGTTTGTATCAGTACATTGCAAAAGACGTAATTACCGATAATGGATGAGAATACTCCCAAGAAAGTCAAGACAGAGAGAACAGAACTCATCTGTAATTGCAGGTATATCTTTAGACGCGTCAACAGGCACAGTGTGACATACTTTTCTAAACTAGCCTCTTCATTACAACCATACCTCTTGACAGTTGATTACTCTATCGATAGTTATCACTAAACAGATTGCATCCACAAAATTTCTTGAGTTCTTCTGAGTACCCAGTCCATATGGCCAGGCAGCCGTGTTTATGAAATGTGCAGAACAAACGGCATATATGAGTTGTCGTCAGTCGACCGTGGCACTGTAACCAGACTTCACACCACACGTGGAAAAGACGTGCACTGGAGATTTAGAGAATAAGATACACCTGCAAACTACTTGTAAGTAGCCAGTTTCCTGTCCGCCTGGTTGAAATTCACATGGAGCTCAGCCCGAAATCCACTCGGCTCGAAACTCCTCACTCCGTGACCCAATGGGTAATGTAGACTTGAGACAAAGAAGAGAGTTTCGCTCCCGATTTGCGTATGAAATGGAACCCTGATTTGTATAGTTTATGCACTGCAATCTATTTTCAGTAAGTTTCTCCGGTGAATTGCTGAAAGTTTCCTTCTGGTCAAAATTTAATTTTGCTTGATGGGCATTAAGTGCTACCACTTTGCTGTGAGCAAAATGGGACTTTTCTAGACCGTTGATTGCCACAAAGCATTATCAGTTGTACTAGTGCTTTTTCACAGCGTCATGTAAAGCTATCAGGTACAACCAGTGAACCTGCTCCTTCTGTGGTAACTAAATCGTTGTTGCATGTCAGTGTTCTGTAGGTATTCCGCACTAGTTCTATATAATGGAACAAATGTATTATTTTTTGTGACACCAAATTGGTCTCCAGTTCTTGGCTATCTGTTTCACCTACATTTAATAACCTCTCTCGTAGTTCAGCAAGAACCATCGAATTATTTTCCCCCTTTTTAGCTGTTTCCAGACGTTTTATCGGTAGTTGCTGGCGAATACTGCTTATGTGGTACTTATAATACTACAGTACCACAATAAGTAGCTGCGGTTTGTATCAGTACATTGCAAAAGACGTAATTACCGATAATGGATGAGAATACTCCCAAGAAAGTCAAGACAGAGAGAACAGAACTCATCTGTAATTGCAGGTATATCTTTAGACGCGTCAACAGGCACAGTGTGACATACTTTTCTAAACTAACCTCTTCATTACAACCATACCTCTTGACAGTTGATTACTCTATCGATAGTTATCACTAAACAGATTGCATCCACAAAATTTCTTGAGTTCTTCTGAGTACCCAGTCCATATGGCCAGGCAGCCGTGTTTATGAAATGTGCAGAACAAACGGCATATATGAGTTGTCGTCAGTCGACCGTGGCACTGTAACCAGACTTCACACCACACGTGGAAAAGACGTGCACTGGAGATTTAGAGAATAAGATACACCTGCAAACTACTTGTAAGTAGCCAGTTTCCTGTCCGCCTGGTTGAAATTCACATGGAGCTCAGCCCGAAATCCACTCGGCTCGAAACTCCTCACTCCGTGACCCAATGGGTAATGTAGACTTGAGACAAAGAAGAGAGTTTCGCTCCCGATTTGCGTATGAAATGGAACCCTGATTTGTATAGTTTATGCACTGCAATCTATTTTCAGTAAGTTTCTCCGGTGAATTGCTGAAAGTTTCCTTCTGGTCAAAATTTAATTTTGCTTGATGGGCATTAAGTGCTACCACTTTGCTGTGAGCAAAATGGGACTTTTCTAGACCGTTGATTGCCACAAAGCATTATCAGTTGTACTAGTGCTTTTTCACAGCGTCATGTAAAGCTATCAGGTACAACCAGTGAACCTGCTCCTTCTGTGGTAACTAAATCGTTGTTGCATGTCAGTGTTCTGTAGGTATTCCGCACTAGTTCTATATAATGGAACAAATGTATTATTTTTTGTGACACCAAATTGGTCTCCAGTTCTTGGCTATCTGTTTCACCTACATTTAATAACCTCAGTCAAATATACAATAATTCTTTTCCTGCGCTCTGATTATTTTACGTAAGAATATTATAACTAATAATATATGTCGAATGGTAGGCACGTCCGGAGATACCAGTGGCAGAGACCATTTGTCTGTTCTGGAGCATATTTACCTCTCAGTGGTGTCTTTTCTAGAAAGAGTCAGCTTGGTTTGGGAAAACCTATCCATTTACTTCAACCTTACGCCAACTTCCGAAATTATAAACGCAATTTGCCGTTTTCATTTTCGCAGATTTTTTGCAAGATGACTTTTTTCGTTGAGAATAAAACAATTCAAGTTAAGGATTGTGAAAATAAGCGTGATTGGACTCCAAAGGTTTCTGGACTGCTTTCTGAAGACGAGAAATCTCAGCCCTGGTTCATTCGAATGCTGGATTTGCTCACCGAACTGTTTGGTGAAATCAATCCCCTCGAAACCCCGTTCACTTTGTCTAAAGTTGAGCATGCTGTTAAGAGGCCCGTCAGAGAAAATCAAGTGAACACAACTTTGCTGCAATTGACAGTGAATTTCAAATCATCTAGATGTCAGTGGGCTATGACTTACTCAAACTGTGACCCCGACAAGGTGAGGAAAGCATTGACCCTAATCATTTCTAGTAGTTTTAGGTTCAAAGAAGCACATTTTATTTGTCCTGTACAAAGAGAGTTAGAGTAAAATTGTATACATTGTAAGATGTCTTACTATATACCCCGAAGTCGTATATTGACACAAGTCTTCACGAAGTGAAATGAGCCCCGCTAATGGCGCGATCCAAAGAAGAAGTGACGTCTTCCTGGTAAGCCTACAACAGTCTTCTCCATCAGTTAGAATTTGCTGTGAAATCTGCTGGAATACGGCTGTTTCTACATAAAGTAGCAGATGGTTTCACTGAAGTGTGTGGCGATTTTGACCATTTGTGACTTGTTTGTAGGAAACCATCAGCAGCGTCATGCTTCACAAGACGCATCTCACAGCTAATTTTGGCAAGTAACCATTCTAGCACTCGTTAAGGATACTGATCCGAATCCACCGTTTGGTCCAGTCGAATAGTGATTGCATACATGAGCATCACCATTCACTTTTCTGTCGACACTAATAAGGGCAGCTCACGATTGGGGTCTGACAGATTTGATAACTCCAAATTGTTGAAGAGCTTTTAATTCCACATCCACAGCTTCGACAGCTTCGTACACCACAAGATGTTTCTGTCTATAAACCAGTCTGTTTTATATCACACCCTCATTAAGAACAGATTTCTCACAAATTTTCTGATGAACCAAGGAGAAAGGCTCATCAGTTATCATCAAAAAGACTTCCTGGGTCAAAAGTTGATGTGATATCCGAAGCATACTATGTAATTCTTTACAACCGGCTTTCTCGAATGGCATCCATCTTATCTAGGATGAGAGGAAACCTTCGACTAGCACACAGCAACCATTGGATTTCAGAACAGTTACCGCTGCTCCATGAGCGAGAAACTGTATTCCTTCAGTCCTGGTAAATAACTGGGCTCAACACTCGATCAGACTTCGAATCAGTCGTAGTCTGTGTGAGCAGAGAGGCGTGTAGAACCAAGAGGTAAAGACAGGTAAAAGGCTAGTGTAAAGGGACGTAGAAAAGTCGTTTCAACTGGTCTTCAAAACATGCTTTGAGTTGCTAAGTTATGTTGTTTCTAGACGGGGGATCGACGGTGCTCTTGTCTGGTCAATCCATATTCTGTCCTGGCACTTGAATGGTGATCAGATCTGTCTGCTCTGATGTTATAGGTCAGGTACATTCAGCGTGCGATGGTAGAGTAGTAGAAACACACTGATCTTCCTAGCCCAGCGTCCGTCACAGTCAGATATGTGCACTGCTGGTGAACACTAATTAAAAAGACACTGGAGTCCAGTGCTTGGTCCCTTTGATGTGCACCCAACAGAAGAATTGAGTAGAGAACAGAATAATATCCACTCGAACAAAAGAGGTGCGCTTACAAGTTTTGTAAATGACCAAGCTTTTAAAAAACCCGAGATCAGACTCTGGGCCCATTTGGTGTAAGACTTGCCGTGTGGAAACGACTTATCTTTAGACAAGCTTTACAGCCTGAGATATCCTTTTCTGATATTATTTTCTTTCAAACGCAACATTTGTTCCATTGAAAAGGAAAACATCGTTTGTGATGTGGTGGTCCGAAACAGCACAAGTATGCCACCAGAAACAGCACTGCCATCCGTATCTGACTGCTGGCATTCCGTCAAGCTCCCAATGCAGTCGGTCACCCGGTGGATCTCGCTTCATCCTGAACAACTAGCTGAACCGAAGTGGCGTGATCGCCTCAAGCAAGCCGTCCAAGTGCACAACAACAATTTTATTGATCCTCCAGATTACACACATTACTACGCGTCGGATGTTCACATCACGGCCTCTTCATCAGAAACCAAAGACACGACAATTATGTTTCAACTCATCTTGGAGATGCAAACACCTGTGAAAGAGGTAGGTAACAGTGCTATGCAATCTATCAGACGGAGAGTTGAATTTTTTACACACAATGTTACAAATTGCACAGCAGACAACCAGTTGACGGATAATGGCATGTGCTCAGCTTGACGACAACCTAAACGTAACCAACGTTCCTCCTTCGACTGAGACAAACCTCTGGTTTACATCCTAGAATCTCTGGTTGTGAAATATCTTCAACCGTACTTAGTTCTCATCCGAAAGTCTTTTCACTACCCAACGTTTATGAGTAATCTTCTTCAGACGATACAAACTTCATGAATCCTTCCTCTGAGAAAACGTCACTCGGGAAAGTAGTCAGCGTTGGAAATCTGTGATTAAACGGAACGGGCTTTTTGTCATTGACGGTGCTCTTGGTTGCAGCAAACAGGAACCTCTCGCTTATAGTATTATTCAACTGAATTTCTTGCACAAAAGCCACCTATTGTTTCAGTTGGAATGACGTTCAAGTTATAACCGATGAAAACTCTGGGTGGCCCGCCACCGGTTTTGTCATCCTTTGGATTTTCAGGCGAAATTCACTTGAGTTCCCCTATCGTGTCAAGTAACTTGGTCAACAGGTATGTATGGCATAGTGGGTACAATTTGTCGTTCAAGTAGGGAAGCGCTTGATGAAACTTTAACTGACCACACCCGCCTGATGAACTCTATCTAGTCGGTAGTGGGCTGTCCAAACTTTTCATCGGTCTGAGTAGTAGCTAAACGTTTATTAGATCTGCTATAATAAGGCTGCATTCATGAGGCACCTTTTTGAGCAACTCAGAGATGGCTGTGGTGTTGGAACACAGGACGTACCGTTTAAGTAATAGTGGAGCGGATGCCCTTGGCTGCTCAAGTACCACTCGAGAGCATGAAGAGTGGCACGATGTTCAACCGTGGTGTTGAGAGATTTGTAGAGATTTGTAGGATGCGCCGCGTCCTGTAGTGTTTTTCAACGTTCCTCCATAGGTTGCACAATGATATCACAGTTGAGGGCCAAGAGTCTTTGTCAAAAAATATCCTCTTCTATATACTAACTAATTAAGTCAAGAAGATCCATTATTTTAATGCCATTTTATGTTTTGAAGGCGTGGTGTATCCACTCATACTCTGTAGAAAAGATTGTTTGTTAGGGTGTGAATAATCCTGCTACATCTTGTTCATATGATGAGACAGTTTAAAGACTCATGAATAGTGAGAAGCCATTCTTTGTCCTCACGCCTTGACGGTAATTCCTAACTTGACTAAGGGGAACCTCCACCAGTGTGAGACAATTACCTGCATTTGGGCTCAACAGGTATATCCAAGCCGACGTTTGGTTTTCATGAAATTAATACCTAAATAAATCATTAGCCATCTAAGACAGGTCTCGGATGAGGCGTGATCCTGAGGTCAAAAATCTAAGATTGCCAACTACATTGAGGTGAAGTTCCCATTGTTTGAGCTTTGCGTTGGTGAATCGATCCCTAACATACTTAACCAACATAACCAACCTGAATAATTGAGCGGACCTATTCTTTTTCATAGATTCTCGCTAAAACGCCCGGAGGCATGATACAGCTGTACAATTCATATTGTGTAGCATCAGAAGTGTGCATTTCACGAAATACCAAGTATAGTTTGGCTTCATTTACGGGACGGAATCTCCATTCGAATTCCCAAATCTCTCCCCACTACTAAAAATCTACAGGTAGATCAGAGGAAGAATAGAACCCACCCGATGAGTGGAAGTTAAATCTAAGAATTCGTTGCTCGAGGAGCCAGTCAACGCGTGAGGCTACGTGATGTGGATCCCGTGATTGAATGATGAGCGGAGCTATATCCTATCTAAGTTTGAGGTAATCACACTGCTGGCCATTTGCTCATGGCCAGACGGATATGTGTCCAAACTAATAACGGGGAAGTCGCGGTTCGAGATCCCGGAGTTTCGTGGAAGGTACACTGCTGCTGATTCCCAATGAGTATGAAACAGCTGTAGAGTGCTTCCCGGCTTCTCAATATAGACTGGCTTCACTGATAGGACAAAATCTCCGATAAAATACTGCCAAAGCTCCTCAAGCTGCCAAAAGTGTTAACATCTCTAACCCTCAGAAAGGAAATGAGGATAGTCGGTTAGTTGGCAAATAAACCAATTAAGGTCTAAAGTTTTTGAAACTTGTTTTACCGGAATCTCTCGATAACACTATTTAGTGGCCCTTCAATTGTTGTGTTGTCGTTTTTTTGTTCTTACCATTTTAAGGGTGGTAAGCTAGATTAGTGACGCTTATCTTTCAGCCTCCTGCATTGATTTCGGAAGTAACGTGTTATCTGCTGACCAAAACTCACTCAACTCTATACACTGAAAGTGGCGTTGAGTGGAAGAAATTGGGTGGTCTTATAAGTGTTTATTCGTACAAAGTGCTACACGCTGCTGGGACCGCACTACCAAGTGCAGTAATTTTTTCACTCTGAGCCTTAGCCCACATCGCTTCTGAACATGCATATTTCGTAAATATTCAGGCTTCTGCATTAGCCGTCATATTTTCTCAAAAAGTGGTTCTATTGGTCCTTCGTGGAAACATGGTGAAGTCTTATTTTGACATGAGAGCTTCTTTTCCTGACTTAGATAGAACCTACGATGCTCTACATTGGAAGTCTTTCGAACTATTCTGAAGTAAATATGTTCGAAACAGGCTTACCGTCAGTGGCATTTTAATATGCTACCATTCACGCGTCTGTGCTCAAACGTTAAACGAATTCTCTGGATACTATCGGTTATAAGCCAAACTACTTCGTGTTTATTGCGTAGGAATTACACGCTGTTTACCGTCCTATTTTTCCTAGCACCGGTCCTGCCAAGTGGTGATAAAAGAGTCTCATGGAAAAACAATCGATTTTACCGTCTACAACTGCGAAGAGGAGTACTCTCTCACCGAAAAGAAACTTTCACCTGGCTTTCGACCAATGAGAAAAACTGAGGAAACTGCTGAGGCTTTTGTTCGATTGAAGAAACTAGCTGAAGCTAAAGCAAACCTAATTTTGACGGACACTTCCTTTTACCACAAACTGAGCCACATTCAAGAAAGCAGAATCAAGGTTGGTGGAAAGTGCTCCTTGCTGTTGATTTTCCTTCTTACAAAATAGGATGATGGTACAACGACAGTCGCATTTGAAATGATTCTGCTGAAAACTGACTGCAACCGAGTAAACAAGACAAATCGACGCGGTGATTCCAACTGCGCAGTTCAGGATTTTGCGGTAAGCTATAATCCATTCATTTTGTAATGGATGGCCATCATCAATGGCACATAAAATTGAAAAAAACTCACAAGGGTGTGTTGAAAGACGCAGTTTGTTATGGATCATATAACAAAAATTAATGCTCAATAAATACCGTTCGCTTGAGTTCATTATTCAACCTAGAGACTCATCGTATGAACCGAATGCAGACGGTTGTATACTCCTTCAGTAGTTTTAGTTAGTTCTTGGTGGAACCATGCCTCCATCAACGCAAATCAAGCAACTGTTTGAATTTATTGTGGCTGTTTGACTATGAATCACGCTTTCTAGCAGATTAGTCCGAGAAACACTGAAGTATGCAAAAAGATTACAGCTGTTCACGGGAGAGACGCGCCTCATGGATAAACCCAGGCGGACAGTTTGGTATCGCTAATTTTTGCATGGTTTTCAAATAAGACCAGGTGCATCAGTGGCACATGACAGTAGATGTGAAGTTGGCAGAATGATCCACTTTGCCTTACGGTGGTTTAAAGGCATTTGGTACTTGAATCCCTCACTATTGAATCACTCTCTCTGAGACCAAATATTGTTGCCACCACAGACAAAATCTGCTTGCCAGGTGAGACCACCTGCTCTAACTAAGAGTATATAACAGCACGTTTACGTAGTGACCCTCGTAACAAGTAAGTAATACTAATTGCGCAAATAACTGGTCGGATTTCAGACCAGTATTTCTAAAGGTTGGTTAGCAGTTGCAAAATGTTTCTGTCGTTACCAGAGTTTAAATCTTGAATAAGTGCATATCTAGTCAATCAGACACTTCGTAGGAAATTCGCAAGCTTCTGCTAACAAGAGGGCAACTTCAGGACACTGCAAAGTAGATCAGTGGAATAACATCACTTGGGTTGAAATTAGCAACTGTATAGGTCGTGTCTCAAGCACAAAGTGAAATTGTTTTTTTTATTTTATTTTTATATTTTTATATTATATTATATTT